ATGTTCATTCAATGTAAGTTATAAGTAAGAGTTTCATTCTTGTAAATTTTCACTGCAAACAAATTTATGGTAAAACAATATTAACGTCCTTGATTACCAATAATCGGTATTTGTATCGGCCCTGAAAAACCACATAGTGGTCGACCCCTAGTCTTCAAAAGCAAAAATGCGCTTACTCTGCAGAGAAGTAGTTGCAATTTTCTTGGCCAGCCTAAGACTTTTGCGCTGTATCGTTCATATTAGTGATGAGTTTAGCCAAACACTTAAATAGCATTAGAAATGTGCCAGAGATGTTAATAAGTAGGTGCCATGCAGTAAAGACACAGAAAGGGGTTTTTGCTTTCAGCTTGCTGTTTTAGCAATTTGTTTAAGTTTACTGTAGCAACAGTGAGTCATAGTCATAGTCAATGATTTGCACTCCTGATTTCTTGGAATCTGACTAGACTCTAAAGGGACTTCCCAAATTGAATTAACAAATATGCAGTGAGTCTGTTTAGCTGTAGAAGAATGTCTAATTTAAACAAAGGTCAAACACGGTAGCTCTGTCAGAACATTGCCATTCCTTAGTAAAGAGTGACTGGACTAAGGACTTTGTAAGAACTTAAGGTTGCATTATAACAGCCTCATATGAGTCACTGGGCGAAATAACGATGTTATTGTGTAAATCACCTCTCAGTACGCTTTTCTGAGTACATCACTGGCATCAGTACTTCTAGAAAACGAAACAACTGAACACTAAACATTTTTAATAAAAAAACTCAATTTTAGACCAAATATAGAGTGTAAACAGCAACAACCAGCACACATTAGCTGCATAGTAACTGAATAGTAACAAGTACGCTCTCAAAAACAAAGGTATGAAACTGTCACTAAGGCGGTACCCCTCTTGTCACTGGGGTGATACCCTCAAGGATACATCTCAGTACCTTTAGTCAGGGAACATAATTGTACCATAATCCATTGAAATCATATTTTCTAAGGTGTATTGACTCCACACACCCCGTCTCGTCTCCAGGCTTTTATTTTATTGTTTTACAACATTCGGTTATGAAAAGGTACAAATACGTACTTTTTATCTGGAAAAACTTATTTAAGGTTCACAACTGGACCTTAAAACCACTGTTGTACCTTTGAGGTACATTTACATTGTTTGTACTTTGATGAATGAAAAAATGTCCCTGCACAGAATCTTTATTTCTAACAGTGTAGGTGATTGAATGTAAGCACGTTATACTATTACAGTTGTATGCAAATGAACACTCCTGGTCGAATAACGTTTTGGTTCATGTTGGAAGTGAAGCACATCCTCCACAGAGAACAAACTTTTTCTCCAATTTTTAGTGCACAATTTCTATTTATTTACTGAGTTTAACATTTTGGAAAACAATTTATGTTTTATTTGTTTTCACATGTTAATTTCAGCAAATAAACAGAACTTGTTCATTAAAATGTGCAGATGTGCATTCACTGTAGAGGTTTTAACTTGTTTTTACTTAATCATTCTACTAAATGTCATTCAAATAAACATGTAATTTGACCTGCACATAACTCTGTCTTATTATTTTAAAAATGGTTTGATCCCCCGTCCTCACCATGCCTTCTTAAATAGATTATTTTCAGTGTTGAATGTAAAAAATCATTCTACTAAGTATCATGGCCTTTTTTCAGGGATGCCAAAGCCAATGTTATTTTTCATGTTCATGTGTGTGCTGATTGATGCTGATGCAGATGTTGATATATAAATACATAAAATTGTTGATATATAAATACATAAAATTGTTGATATATAAATACATAAAATTGGATTAGCATTATGGATTAATGTGACATTTATTTGAAGAGTATTACAAATGCAGTAAAACGAATAAAATAAAAGACATTTTAGTGTAGCAGCCCAGCAATGCCTTGACGTTCTGCTCTTTTGGAGTCCAAAAAATATTTCATCAAATATCGATTAAATGTATAAATCTATATAAACAGATCTATCTAAGTCTAGCTGTCTGTTTTTTCCATTTTTTCCCAATGATCTGCAAATATCGATATGATTCCAATATAATGTATCCCTGTTTTTTTTATGTGGCAGTACTGTCCTCATAAAACATATTGATGTATATATGTACAGGGAATGACTGAACCCTCCACGCTTACAGCACTTTGACTGCGAGTCAACTTGAGTGCAGTACTGAAAATAACAGCTACAGAAATAGAGGAGGCAGACGCGAGTGTATTTAGTGCGGCTCTCCCACAGGTATAATGGGTCCTTGGTGTGAAACTTTGTAAGGGTATTCCACAATCAGCCCCCCATTTAGAATACAGTGTGGAATGTGGTGCAGTTAGCTCCTCTGACCCGTCTCACTATGCCCTGGTATTTATAAAAAAAGCAAGAAAGAAAAGAAAGGAAAAAAGGCTTAAATGGCCCCACAGACTTCCAAGGAGACGAGGAATTTAGAGTGTAGTTGTTGATTGCTGGCTTTGCTAGTTTGTGAGTAATGCAGTTCCAATATGTAGCTTTGTGCTGCTAGATTTAATGGGATTTGTCAGCAGACTTACTATGAAGAAAGTATGTCATTGTCATTGTAGTAAATTACATCATAATCAAATATCTCTGACATGGTTTCCCCTTGTTCCTGTGTCTGTTACTTGCTCTGTTATGTAGCCATGTGCTTTCTGCCACGTGCTTGAAAACAGAGCAAGTATCAGACACAGGAACAAGGGGAAACCGTGACAACCATGATGTAATTACATCATGATTACATCTTGATCAAATATCATGATGTACATCATGATGTAATTCATCAAGTTGAGACTTTTTCAACATATTTATACATACAGATGTCTTTAGTGTTCGTCTAAACAAAGTGACACTTTATTAATTAACATTTCCGGCATCCTTTATGTAACTGAAATAATCTGAAGTATGTCCCTATAGACACCGACCACTTCATTAAGGACACCTACCTTGTATCTACACTCTTTGTCTTTATTTTATCAGCTCCTCTTACAATTTGCATGAAATTACAGACTGTAGTCCACCTGTTTCTTTACATTCTTTATCAGTCTCCTTTAACACTGGGTGCGCTTACATGCACTCAATAATCTGATCATTATCGGATTTCTGCAGTTATTTGATTATTCAAATGGTCGCTTAAACAGCACACTGATTTCTTAGATCAGAGTAGGGTCTAGAAATCCGATTAAGAAGTCTGATAAAGAGAGCTGGATTTTAGCTCAGTATTCAGATTTCTCTGTGCATGTAAACTCTTACTCGGATTTCTTTCGGATTTCTCAGTGCATGTGCGAAAACAGATGGTGGTACTGGAAATAAGCAAGAAACGTTGCCGTGAGACACAGCAAAACACTTTTGGAGCGACGCTGAAACCACACACGTTTGATGATTTAAATATTCATCTTCTTCTAGATTATGTATGTTCATATTTTCAGGTAAAGTGGCGCAATGTTTTTTTTTTTTTTAAAGCCGTGGCCTGAAGTTTGAGTTTTACAATATGTTTACGTCACGTCTTCTTCCTGTTCCAAAGTAGAAATCCGATTACTGCCTGACTCGTGTAGACCTGGAGTTTGTGCATGTAAACGTGTTGATCATGTAACTGACAAAATCTGATTTTCTGCAGTTGTCGGATTATTACGTGCATGTAAACGCACTCACTGTTATTCAATCAGAATTAGAATCACTTTATTTTGCCAAGTATGTTACACATACAAGAAATGTGTCTTGGTGAGTGCACACATGTATGACATGTAACATACTAAACAAACCAGACAAGTAAACAGATTGTTAACAAATATATAGGGGCACGGAGGAGCTAAACAGAAGTGTGAATATCTGTACATTTTCAGATAAGAATACCTTTACATATAAGTTTAAGTTTAAAGTGTGAGATGTCCACTGTGGTTAATTAGTGCTACAGCTCTGGGGGAAAAAGCTGTTAGCATGTCTGGCTGTGCTGGTTTTGATGGGCCTGAATCTTCTACCGGAGGGAAGTGGCTGGAAGAGGTGATGACTAGGATGATGGAGGTCAGCTGTAATTTCGCCAATGCGGTTCATTACTGCTGTTGTAGATCCTCACTGCTGTCCTGATCATGCGCTGCAGTTTGGCTCATTCTTGTGAGGTAGAGGGACCAAACCAGATGATTATGGATGATGTTAGGATTGACGTGATGATTGCTGAGTAGAACTGGATCATCAGGCTCTGTGGGAGATTGAATTTCTTCAACTGTCTCAGGAAAAACATTCTCAGCTGAGCTCTCTTGGCTGTGGAGAGCACGTTCCTCTCCCACTTCAGGTTCCTGGATATGGTGGGGGCCAGGAGTTTGTTTGTTCCTTTACAAGTAAAGCAGATTCAAAACCAATGCCAACATGTCCAGGTCAGGCACAGCCCAGCAAATTTAGCCTGAGACCAGACTGTAATATGCTAAAATAAGTCTTTAAGTGCCCCAGAATTTCATCACAAGATCTGCCGGTAGCTCTTGCCACTGTCAATGTCAAAGTGTGTGCATTACCATCATCAAAGAGATAGCACAAATTTGGCCTACATGGAAGGTACACCAGGAGGAATCTTTTGCCATCTAAAAAGATCAGCAGGGCAAGACTAAGGTTTGCTAATGAATATCTAAGCAAGGACCAGGACTCTTGGAACAATGTGCATTGGACAGACAAGTGAAAGATAGAGCTAGAAGCCATGTGAGTAGATGTGAGAAACTGTTAGACAGTTACAGGAAACGCCTGCATAAAGTTGTTTCTGTCAAAGGAGGCAATAGCAGGAAAAAAAGACATCTCAGTTAATTTTTTGATGATGGCAAAGTCAGATCTCCATTGTTGTTATTCTGTTATATGATGTTTATATATACATACTGTTTAACTGAAGATGAAATACTGGTATTTCCACATGTCAAAAAAAAAAAACCATTTCATGAAGTGTACTTACTTTTTCACATGACTGTACTCATTCTCTCTCTCTCTTACTTCCTTTCCTCTGGTGTAGCTCCTGAGCTTTATCATTATTATCTGCTATGCAGCATCACTGTACGGGGGTTATTCAGCAGTGGCTATCTTCGAGATGATCTTTGCCATCATCTTCTTCGTCTTGTTTATGATGGATTTCGACAAACAGTTGCAGTTCATCAACTGGCCCTGGACTGTAAGTAACGTGAAAAGTCACACAGTGTTCAACCTGTGCCCAAAGAAACATGTGAACTCAGTAATGTCTCTGCTCATGTTCATAAATACACAGCTGTAAATGCATACATCCTGTTGCTGTCATGCCTTTTTCAGGACTTGTTCCGTGCCGGGATTGGTGCACTGTTGTACATCATCACCTCCCTGGTCTGTGTGATTGGTGGAGCAGGTGATGGAGCGCGTATCGCAGGCGGGGTAAGACCACTTTTTGGAATTTTTACCTATTTCTGTGCACTTTATGTCAACTGTTTCTTTTCCTATTCAAAACATTAAGCCAGGAGTGCTCAGTCCTGGTCCTCGAGATCTACCACCCTGGTGAGTTCAGATCCAACACACCTGGGTCTAATGTTCAGACCATAGATATACATACCTAGATGCTGCGTTGTCTGTTCTCCTCTATCTGAGACGATACCTCTGCGTGTCCGCCATGTTGGAGCGGTCAAGATCCGCTTATGAATAAATTCACTTGTATCGAGAGATGATGAGTCTCAGGATTAACACAACCTTCTTATTACTTTTATTTTCACCAAATTTGTTTTGTTATAATCCTCAGACACAGATTAATCTAGGTTGCACGGACAGCTCTCTGTAGCTTTTATTACTTTAATAACTGATTGTGCTAATTAGTCGTCCGGGCCAGCAGAAAAGTATTCGGTCTGCACCTGACGTTAAAAACCGAGTTTAGTGCAAGAAACGCAATCTCACACACATCAGCAAATCCATCAATATGTGAATCACTTCTAATCTTAATATACATAAAAATAAAATAAACCCACAAAACACAGTAAGAAGGACAAAGCTAAAGTTGGCTTCCTATCCGCCAGCTTCTTGTTCGAGTTTTCCTGTTCCACCTTAAATGGTGCAGCGGTCGCTTTCCTTTTGCCTGAAGCTGCACCATTTAAGGTGGAACAGGAAAATTCGAACAAGAAGCTGGCAAGTAAGAAGCTGACTTCAGCTTTGTGTAAGAAGGTGCTAACATTAATCTATTATGAATATCTACACGGATTAAGGATTAAGGAATGCTATAACTTTCCTAGCTACAAAACCATCATTGTAAATAAATAACTACATCAAGATCCCCTGAAATGAAAATGAAATGAAATTAAATGAAATAAGCTTAACATAAAACCAGAGGAAAACCAAATCACATCAACAGGTTCTCCGTGCCTCACCAACCACACGGCCATATCTACACATAAACATAACACAAACAATACGCATCACACAAACATGAGTGTGGATCGCTGCGTTCCCTCCGTTAAATAATCCTATCCTGCTTTCTGAGTGCTATATTTTTGAAATTGTATAATTTTGGACAGTATCTTTCTTAAACTGCGGTTCTGTAATGGTACTGAATGTAGTCCAGCAGCGATGTTGACTGCCCGAAAATGGCGGTGCCATTGACATGCCTGGCTGGACCCAACACGGCATCTAGGTATGTATATCTATGGTTCAGACACCCATGAAGACCTTCATTATCTGGACCAGGTGTGTTAGATTAGGGTTGGAGCTAAACTCTGCATCTCCAGGAGCAGGAATGAGCATCACTGCATTAAACAATGTATTTCATTTTCTTGATTTAAATGTGTACAATACAACATTTCTGCATTAAACAGCAATTTACAGTCTTCGAATACCTGGTCTTCTGAAAGAGTATTTAAATACTTGTTCTTAACATCACCCTTAAAAACAATAATAATATGTTCCATAATTAGCCGTAGTTTTAAGTATGTTTGTTACTGCAGTTCAAAATACTTCCAGTAGGCAGCAACAGTGTATTAATAGTCTGTCTGAATCCCAGCTGCTCACTCACTGTATGGGGCTGTGTTAGAATCCGTGATTGTAGCCCTCCAATTCAAGTACAGCTTTTATGAGTCACGTAAGCGGGTATGAGGGTATATCGAATTAGAATTACCATTTTAGTCATCACCATCACAGTTTTAGTTTTGTTCATTTTAATTGCTTTTATATATTTTATTGATTTATTTTATTTAGCTAGTTTTAGCGTGGCCCTCACCAGAAACTAGCAAAACTCGGATAAATATCACTATACCTACATATCTGAAATGATTTATCAAACTTGTGCCTCCATGGTATACAAACCTCTTATTGTTAATTTTGCACTGAACATTTTTCTTACCATAATTTAAAGTCCTCCCACACGTATTTTCTCAGACATTTTTGCTCTTTCAGCTTTAATGGCCTCATGGAAAGTGTTGTGCTCTGAGGAGAGGTGATGTGGATAACATAAAATAAATTTATGATGCATTCAGCTAAACCAGCTATAATTTATTTATTCTTTTTAAAGGCATTTGCTGATGAAATATGTTGCAGTTTAGGCTACAGTTTCCAGCCTCACCAAAGTATCAAACAAATACTGAAAGTGTTCAAGTTACTTGGGCCAGCCCTAAACAAAGTCTTTTACATCAACAGAATGTTATATATTTATTCATGTGGAAATTATGAATGTACACATTTGAATCAAGAAAATTCAGTGAGTCATTTTTCAGTGTTTTTCTAGCCATTAAATATTAACGGTGGGTGTATAATGTATTACAGGTGTTTGGCTTAATTGCTGGCATCCTATTTGGTTATGATGCCTACACTGTTTTTCTGGATATCAAGAGCACTAGAGGACATAATCCTGCTTCTACAGGTAAAGAAAACCTACAGCATTACAAACACAAGAGGGAACAGAAAAAAACAATATCTAATGCTAGATATAGTCCAATCACTTTGCTGACAACATTTTACAGTCAATCACAAACTTGCATCTATTGACACAAAATGAATTTTCAAAGCCATGTAATTTATACAAATGCACATTAGGTATGAGTATGTCAGGAAAAATTTCATATTCAATATTGTAAGGCATTATTCCAAACAATTCCAAAAAAATAAGCTTCAAGAAAGGCAGTCAGTCTAAAGTCTGTAAGATAAATTGGCAAATGCTAGTCATCTGTTTTCATCTCAGCTGACTTTACTAGCCTAGTCACATCATGACATATTTGATCTTATACCTTTTAGCTCAAAAATAGTGAGTTATTTAGCTGATACCAAACTATAAATTCATTAAATTATGTTGTAAATTTTATTCTATTTAATCTATAATAGAGTGTAAAATGCGCTCAGTCTTGAGGTTTATTAGCGCTTTTCTGCAATATGTGCTATAGTTGCACCTTGTTTGTCTGCTACACAACACTGCGCTTCTTCAGCCGGCTGCAGTAGTCTCTCTGTGTTTCCTTATTTGGATTAAACTGATTAGAACTTTGGACCAAAACACAGGCTCTCCACTGCCCTCTACTGGAATAAAGAGTTCATGACTACTTGAACATTCAAATAGTCGGACTCATTCTAATTCAAAAAAAGAAATAACACTGATTTCATATGTCAAACATTTAAATAACTCTTAACTTACTAAATTATTTTCTGTTGTTGATATTGTCATTGTTTTTATTCCACAGATGACAGAGTTTGAACACTATTATTTGCATCTTGACAGCAACAGCATCGCAAGGAAACACTCGAAAACAAAAGATTGAAGAATGGCAAGCTAAGAATTTCGGTCATGATAAGATAGATTGAATGTTTTGGAGATGTAAACACTGCAAAATGAAAATATTACAAGAAATAACCACAAAGGAATCTGTGGAATGTCAAGGAGCCCACTAAATAAGGCTGCATCTGTAATGATTAGTGCTCAGTCAAAGCCACCTTGAGTAACAGGAGAAGCTGCTGTCTGTCATGTTGGCTAAAAACCTTACAGCAAAAAAACTGAGTTATGTTGGTGGTGGTGTAAAGGCTTCTGTTGATGTCAGGCAGAGATCATTGGAAATTAAGGAAAGAATGAGATTGCCTAGAATGATTTAACTAGTTGAACGGTCTCTGCTGGGCCTGTTTTACCATGACAACATATTGTCTAGTAATTAAGGGACTATCACATGAAGAAAGGGAGCTGACAAGCCTTGGTTCAGTTTAAGCTGGTGCTATTTTTGAGCTTAATTAAACGGCAAACTATGCTCACGCTTGGAAGCAACTTGGGTGTAAAATTTTATTCATGGTAGATAACAAGAGCTTTGATAACTATTGATTATTGTTGATGAAAATGAAGCTGAAATACTATAATGGTAGGAGTTTGTGTATTTTTTTTAATAAGTTAATATCTTGATTATCTGTTGCCATAGTAACCTCTTACCTCAACGGCTACTCTGTTAAATGTAATTTGGAGTCAAATCTGAGCACCAGAAGGTTCTAAGCGCATATTCACCAGAGCCACTGCAGGACAGAAGTCTAATAAACGATAACAATACCCCAAAAAACAGCATATATTATCAAACTGGTCTAATTTACGAGCAACATTCTGTATTTTGCATTTATTCCTCATTCAGAGGTTCATATATTTTGTAATATTGGCATGCTACATCTTCTCCATTTTGCATCATAAAATTTGTGCTTGGATAACTGAATAACTGACCAAGGTCATGACGATGGAACAAAGATGGATGTAGAACACCATGTATATAACTAGTAATGTTCACCATAGACTTACAGTAATGAAGCCTTACTTAACCCTTGTGTAGTGTTCATGTTTTTGTTACTCAGTGGTCTGGTGGACCCACTGCATTATTGTTTTTTAAATCAGTACAGCCATAACAATTTATGTAAAAATAGCAGATAAAATATCACAAGTGGCCAGCGTAGGGTTCTCCTTCAGTAGCTGTAGCCAGTCAGCCTGAACACCACGTGTGATATAAATGTGTAGTTATTTTATATGTTCTTCACAGAAAATCCCACAGACCCCAACACCACACAAGGTATTAGTAAATAATGCTCCTATAGGAATTATGTTATGTAATGTACACGTTACTGTATTCAGAGAAGGAACGCTCATTGATGTTGCCATTGTGTTGTAACAGTTGCTTTGTGATCAGGCCCTACTTGTTATTGTGTCGTTTAGACAGAGATTTTTTTCTTCACTCACACAGCCCACACTGCGTTAGGAGCACCATTGTTTTCTATGTGTAACGTGTGTTGATGAAGTCATTGTACCTAACCTACAGAGCCGAGGTGTGCCGTGCTTTGATTCCTGCAGTAATATCACTCACTGCTTTCTGTACAGCCTCCTGGAAATTTATAGTAGACTACTTTAGTTTAATTAGTTTGCCTTATTCTAAAACCATTGTCTCAGCTAAGCCATGTCTCTGATTTTTTTTTCTGTCAATAATTACAGTCTCAGGATATTTTTCAGATATATTTTAGACCACGTCTGAGAGTTTCTTGCATTTTTTTTATGTTCATCCTTGAAAAATAATGCAGTCCAAAGAAGCTCTGCAGTATTTTCATTCTTTTCACTTTTCTAATGTAACTGTGGTTTTATTGTTTTTTTTTCATGATGCAATGTGCTTTAAAAATGTGTTGTAACCACGTGAATATTTGCGTGGGTGCGACCAATAAAAACTTGATATATTTAAACAACTCTAGTGTTTCGTCATGGGAAAGCCTTGTGGGAAATGCATGTATGTAGCTCCACCTTCTGGAGATCTTGCTGAAGGAACTCTGCAATCCTTAATATGAACTGCATGCTGCATGTGTGTGTGTGTGTGGGTGTGTGGATATAAGGTTTTGTCCCGATATAGATTGTTTGAGAATGTTATACACGAGTTTCATCTCTTAAACGTGTGTCAACATTTATATACATGCTCACTTCTTAGATAGAATTTGGCTTTTTTACATGAAGTAAAATGTGTATAAATACAATCCTATGAATGTAATTATTAATTGAACTTGAAGGACATGTTAATTTCCTTATTTGCCTCATACAGTACCTGTAGAGTCACTGTAAGCACATAAAAGCTCCCACTGTGGATGTAAACAATAAGTAAGAGGATTAAAGCTTATTAGCTGTACTTCTACTGGAGGGTAAACCACTACTGATTCATAGATTCATGTTTTTTTCAGTCTTATTCTTTTCTATAATAAAAGTTTGACGCCGCACCAACAGAGGTGTCCAGCAAAATGTTGAAGGGAGTTAATGTACTAAGGAAATAAAAGTGAAATATGAAAATAAAATGAGCTGGTAATAAGTGTCTTAGATTAGTAATAATATCTGAATATCTCGCCAACATGCTCCACTCTTTCATTTGTTTTTGTTAAAACCAAAGGAATCCCATAGGGAAATCTGATATATGGCAATCTATGGATTTAAAATATACGACATATATTAGCATATATGGATTTCCCTTATATCCAACTTTTAATAGCCACATATGGACATATATGTGATATACATGACAACGTATTTGAAATTGGCCATTTTCAAATATGGGGTACATATTTCAGCCATACATTAACATATACAAACATATGTGTAACACATATTTTGAAATATATGATAGAAATCATTATTCATATATGGACGGAATATATTACTCATATATGCTCCCTTCCTGTTACATAACAGAAGGTTTTTATTAATATTCTTTGTTTCTTCCACATACTTACTAATGAAGTGAAAATTAGTATAATACCTACATAACTAAACTCTAATGTATATAACTATAATGATACTCTAAATTATTATAAGAGCTACATAACTATGCTATGCAACAAGTCATTAAAATATGAAATTAATAAAAAATATTGGTCTATGACATTTAAATAAGGTAATATTTACAAGTAATAACATAGTAACAGTTACAACTGTACTGGGATGTGTCAGATATACATGTGGTTAATCTATTATTTATACATGTCCATTATTTGAAACTTACATATATGTACACAGGATATATGTACATATATTCACATATTTTTAAAAGGATTATATATGTGTATTTATATATATATACATATATATATATATATATATATGTGTGTGTGTGTGTGTATATATATATATATATATATATATATATATTTTTTTTTTTTTTAATGAATATAACTTTCTAAGGATGAGGATGAATGAAGCCTTTCAGTACCTCACTGACATTTTACACTTTGTGCCACAAGGTGGCAGCATCTACTGCTTTACTAAAAACTTTCAACAAACAACCTCAGCTCTTGACTCAATGTTTCAGTACACTGCGTAAATACACAATAAGAACGAGAAGAGGATGAAAAACGGTAATATTCAGAACACAACACAAAACCAAAAAAGCCTACATAAATGAAACAAATACATTAATTGTTTAAAAGACCCTTTTAAGACAACGTTGTAGCTTTCTTTTCTAATTAAAGGGGAACTCCACCAATTTTTCAAACTTTCTGAATAATTCAGTCCTATAGAGGTGAACAGAGCCATTCAGAGTGGTTTGGTGTGAAATGCTCCGCTCTAGAGAAACTTACCAAGTTAGATATATGCTGCCTGATGTGTGACACGTTGTTTAATGATAGTTTTGTAACAAAGTTTTGGCTTAAAATGCATTTTAATCCTTATATTTCAATCCATTAGTGGCGGAGGGGTACATGCAGGAAATAGTTCCCGAAGAAAACTTATTTTTATCATCAGAGCCTGCAAGTTTCTGTACAATGAACCGTTTCACACCAAACCACTCCGAATGACTCTGTCTACATCTGAAGGACTGAGGTAAACAGAAATTCTGAAAATTGGTGGAGTTCCCCTTTAACTAATTAATCTAACCGTTCTAAGTCAGAATCGTTCAAAGCGGTGGTGAAAGGAACCAGACGTCTGAAGTGCTTAATGCCTCCAGAAGCTACATCACACTGAGTTATTACGTTAAATAATAACTTTAGTCAATTTATCGCTAAGTTTTTAGCCTAAAACCCAAAAATTGTACGTTTAGGAAAATAAATGGAATGGCTATATTTGCATTCCAGCACATCGGCCCCTGGTTCCTATCACCACCACTGTAAACACATGAGTGAGCAAGTTTCTCTACAATAAACCATTTCACATCAAAACAACATGAATAACTTTGTTTAAATCTCTTTTTATTATTAAGAACGTGTAAAAACGGTCGTATTCCCCTTTAAAATGTTCTGCGGGTGTGTTTATTCGGATTTCCACCTCACTCGGCTTTAGCCCTAAATAGGCCTAATCCATTGTTTCAGACGATGTAATGGTGTAGTGAGTTTCACTGACCGTACAAAAAGTGCACTCTGGGGGAAACCAGAGTGTAACTGGTCCTTGGAGTAGAGGTAGTCTCTCTCACTCTCTCTCTCTTTCTCTCTCTGGCCTGTCCAGTTCACTCACACGCCTGTGAACCGTGTGTTTAAGTGCCCGCCGTCTGTTTTGTGTCAGAATCGTTTGGTAACTCAATCTCTGAGGTGCACTGCGCTGACGAGCAGAGGGGGGTGGCCATGCTGATCTACAGTCTGGCTCCAGTGGAGCAGCTGCAGTCCTGTAGGTGTTGCCCGCTCACTTCTTCGCTTCTTCACGCCTCGTTCACTTTCGGGAGACTTCGTCGTTCTCAGCGAGCCGCCGACGAGCCACACCGGAGCCTGGAGACTTTACCTTGGGATAAAACCATGTGAAAAACCCGGTGAGACCTTTTACTGTACCGTACCGGAGACCAACGGTCACTCGAAGTGGAGCTTAACGACATGTTCACGCGCGGATCCAAAAAGCGGCGGTCCAACCGTTCGGTAAGGAAACTCAGCAGCTTGATAATAAGTTCGTTGCTGAGTGTTGTTTTGTTTTGTAAGTTTTCTTTCAGTTTTTGTTGTTTTTTCTTGTACGTTTTCTCCGTAGTTTGTCTCAGTGCTCCCACTGTCTACGCTGGCCAGCAGCTACTTTTGTTCCTTTAGCGTTTACCTGGGACGTCGAAAGTTGAAGTCAGAATGAGGTCTTGCGAACGTTTTACTCAGTTATAGCTTTACTTTTTGGACTCTTCAGACATGATATTACCACAGAACCTGTCTTATCCTTTCACCTTTTAAAACCGTTAAGTAGCATTTTAACCATTTTCCTTTCTATGAACGTTGTAGGCTGTAAAAGAGGCGGGGCTAACGCCGCCGTGACGTCATGTTTACCTGAGCAGGTCTGTGTTGGTTTGGACGGTCAATGGGCTCCAACTGTGGTCCTGGAGGACTTTTTAGTCCAGCACGGTTTAGTCATTTCACTGCTGTAGCAACCCTTAGTTGGCGATGAATGAGGTGAATCAGCAGGGAAATCACCAGACTGTGCTGGACTCCAGCCTTTCAGACCCAAAGATGACCTTAAAGGGGAATTCCACAGATTTTTCAAAATCTGCAAAATTGTACAATTAAGATGTAAACAAAGCCATTCCGAGTGATTTGATGTTAAATGCTCCGTTCAAGAGAAACTTACTGAGTCATGATGTTCACAGTTATGGTGGTAGGAACCAGATGTCCACCTCTTAAAGCCCCTAATAGAAAGTTATTACATGAAATGGTTATGCATACGCTGCTTGATGCCTGAGACGTTGTTTTACAGTAGTTTTCATTTAAATTCATGGCGGAAGGGGTACATGCAGGGTGTTTAAGTAGTACTAGATAAGGTGCTATCACAACCACGGTTAAAAAACTCTGGACCAGCTTCTCTACAATGAACCATTTCACATCAGATCATTCTGAATGACTTTGCTTGCATCTCAAAGGCTGAACTGTGCAGAACTTTGAAAAACAAATCAGAGCTAAAAGTGCAGTTGAAGGCCTGTTACAGCTATCTGCTAGACCACATGTGAAAGGCTCCAGTCCTTGCTGGCCAACACACTGAAGACTTCAGCACACTGCCTCATTAAACATTCTTCATGAACTGAATTCAGAATGTTAGATGAGGGTAAATGCTAATCTTTGCAGCACTTTGGCCCGCAAGGTCCCCACATGCCTGTTCTAGACTAAGAAGATCTAATTGATCTTAGAATTTACACCTGTGTTAGTGCAAAATACGTGCCCGTTTGAGATATAAAGTACTTGTCTTAACAGCCAATGCACTCAGTCACTTTCTAAAAGTCCATATGTATGGTGTGTTGATGAGAGTGTAGTGTGATGATACAGTGATGTGGTGTGTATAAAGTGTCTAGCGTGTTGAAGACTTGGAAGCGTGTGTCGTGTGTCCTAAGTTGCACCAAGTTTTCCTTTTTTTTCTGTCAGTCAAAATATCTGACACAATGTGTTTGGGTTAATGTGTTCGTGATGGTTGTTTGCATTGAGAAGGATTTCTTCTTAGGACTTTACCTGATAGCAGCGGCTGTGGAATCTTAAAAGGAAATGCAAAGTGATGGCTGATGATGGTCAACAGCAAGGGAGAGGTTTTTTCTCAGTGGTCAGTGCAGCTGTACGAAGCATTTATTCTTAAGTCAGCCTGTAGTTACTTATAAACAGGCCACCATGGCTACTTATACATATTTATACATACTTAAATGTATTAAAGGGCACCTGTAGGCCTGTGACAGGTATCTTGTAATCGAATTAAATTCATCTGACCTGTGTAGACGTAAAGGAAGGATATGTTTAATAGCCAATCACCAGGCTGATTTTAATATAAACATAAATATAAACGTCCAAATACTGACTTAAAATAGGCGTAATAGTAAAGCAAAGAGCATCACATCTAAGATTGTGAAGTCTGTGTAAAATAAATGACCCTTTTAACAGAGAGGAAGATTGATACGAAAAAATCATTGAGTTTTTAAATCTGGGGGCAGAATGGCACTAGAACACAATAGTTTGTATGAAACTTCATTAGGCTTACTTTCGTCCATTGTTTGTTTACTTTGCCTTCCCAGAGAAAGCGCTCTCTATTCACTGAGTGTTCTTTATCTGCCTGGAAAGCACAGTCAGGAAAAGGAACTGCCTAAAGCCTCTGGACACATCAAAACCAGGCCAGGCTTATTCTCACTGAATACAAAGCCTACTTTAGCTGTTTTCACCCTGCTGCTTTCTGAGTGAAGTTGGAAGCCTGTCTGTTCGTGGGTTTCTAAATTTTATTTTGACCTTGTTTTTTCCTTCAAAATAATGCCCTTAGATCTCATACATAAAGATGTCTTTTTGATCTTGGCCAGGCTGGTCACCCTCAGGTCTCCCAGCATGCCCCAGTGCAAGAGTAAGCACAGGCCCATGATCTTTTGACCTTCAGCCAATAAATGTGTAACAAGCTCGTCTCATGAAATGCTAATAGTTACTGGTCTAGAAGTAAAGATTGTACTAATGTCATGCTGACAGATGAGTTAAGTTGTGTTTTCAAGCTGGACAAGATACTATGGACATGAGTGCAGAGTGTTATCTTAGCTCAGCACAGGCATTTCATAACAAAGATGTTTGCCAATTGTACAGTCTGTGTCAGAGATACAGCACTGTGCAAAAGTCAGAAACCACCTTACATCTATTTTATTGCTGGTAAAAATGGCCATTAAGAATAATGTATTCTTAGAAAAAGCAGAAAACATATATTTAACAGAAAATTCTAATGCATGGCCACGACTTAGTAAAGCATGGGAATGAGATATTTAAGCCTTGTCCAGAGCGTAATAAGGCTTGATTTCGTTCCCACGTATTAATACGTCGTGGCCACCCATTATTTTCATTTATACAGGATGTCACCATCTCCCTATATTTCAGTGTTTATTCTGTCCATCCTTCTGCTTTTATTACAGCTTCCATTCTTCTCAGGAGACTTGCTTTCAGCTTTTCAGAGAAATCTGCAGGGATATTTTTCTGCACCTCCAAAAGTTCAGTCTTGCTTTTTCCGTTTCTCGATCCAAGTAATCCCAAACACATTCAGTGATGTCCAGGTCTGGACTCTGGGGTTGTCAGTCCATTGTTTTGGGAGCTCCAGCAGCTTCTTAGCTTGATCTGCAAAGTTTCTTTAGTTTCTGTTTCATTTTCTAACAACTTCTTCACAGCTCCACATCCTTTTAGACTCATAGTGCTGAGTTGCTGAGAAAGATGGACAGAAACACCTGTGGATTTTTTCAGATCTGAAGCAAGGCTGGAGCTTTAGGTGGTTGTTAGGGGTCTCTTTTTTAGGGGTCTGTATTTTTTAATAGTTTTTGGAATGGTTTGGAATGGTTTCCTATAAAGACCGTATTGGAACAGCACCATATATCACAATACTTTAAGACATTTCCACAAAATGCAATATCATAATATTTAGTATTTTTGAGGATTGAAAACTAGTTGAAACAGACAAAATGTGCCAGCTAAACAGCAGTGCTCCATTAAAACGCCATGAATAACTATGAGTACACTGAGTTAACCTGCACTCGTTGTTGTTTACAGGCTCTATAGCTGGTTTAAATGTGTGTTTTTTTTATCCATAGAGTCGTTCAGTGTTGTAAAATTGCTGATGATATCAGTGAAACATATTGTGACATAATTCACCATGATAACAGAAGCATACCATGGTACCATGACATTGTCCACCTCTATACTGGAGTTTTAACCCTATATATTTGTTTTTATATGAGAGTGTACTTGATGTAACATTTTTTCTTTCATAAATATACTTACACTTGATATTAGCTTTGTTTTGCTCAGAGCTTTGCGCAGATCTGTTGTTGCAGTTGACGTAAGCATCACGTTTTGAGTTTTCAGCCCCTGTAGAACTCCAGCTGGGGGACAATTGAGAGGAAATTTTCCCTGAGGGTGTGGACAGGAAGTAACCTCCGGAGCATCCTGTCTCACGATAGAGGACGGGGGGGGGCATCTTCCCATAAAGCCCCTGTGCAGGACAAATCTTTCATTTCTCTCTACTGTACTGTATCATTTTTAGTTTTCAGCCATCTGTATTTCTTCCTTTCTCCCGTCTCTCTCTGACTATCTCATGTAAACATAAACCTCTGAAAAGTAACTCAGCCGCTCTGATATCCACTCACTGATAACATAGTAAAGACTGGATATCAAGGTCAAAATCTCTCTCCGTTCATGTAGTTTATTACGCTTCATCATAAATCCATTAGCTGAATCCTGCCAAGTGTCAGCTGTATGCACAGTCAAAGCTTTATATTTTAGCTCAAAACCTTCCTTTTCCTGTGTGATTTATGTGTCAGCGTTCAGCGTCATGTACAGAGTGAGCATATTTAGGCTTGCTTCTTGCAAGTGTAGAGTTTCCATCATAGAATTTCATCCACGCAAACAGCTCGCAGTATGGCCAGGTGTACAAATGCTTACACAGCATTATTCTCCCCTGAGTTTCAGCAGTGAGTTAAATAAGGATTAGTGACTCAAAAATGATGAAAATAAACCATGTATTCTTTTATGTAAGCCGTAGAATGATACAGTTGTATGTAAACATTTGTTCACCCCTAAGTGAAAATGAGTTAACACATCCTGTACAGAGATCAGACTGTACAGTTACTGTTTATTTGCTGAGTATTGGGGGGGGGAAATAAAACATAAAATGTGGCCTGTGCAAAAGTTATGGCACATTTTATATTTCATGTTTTTGTTAAACTCAGCAAATCATACAGTCACATTTGCTGATGCCTTATTTAGTTTTGTCCTCTGTACAGGATGTGTTCACTTATTTTACTGTAGAAAATCCACAAAACATGTCATTTCACCAGGAGTGTCTACAATTTTGCTTCCACTTGTGACCCCTACAGTTATTATTGTCATTTTGCTAAACATTCAGTATAATTACATAATTGTTGTGCGATTATGTGACGGCCTATCGCCGGGAG